GAAGTAATGAGAAACACTTGTGCTAACACTTCTAATTATTGTTTTCACATTATTATTGGTGCACCTTTGAAGCGGAGTCTTGCCAGCAATCAAACGACTAATCATTTATTCCTTCTTATTTCCATATCAAAAGTTGCAATATATACTTTGTATACTTTTCACGGTATTCACTATTCATATTGTAATAACAAGGTTAATTACTGAGAATGTCTTATCAATATTTTTTTAGCACAGTTACATACCAACGTTAACTGCACGGGAAAAAAGTTCTCCGATGCTAGTTATTTTAAGGTGTTGTGATGGCAAATTTAAAAGATGTCACCCAAGTGTTGTCTCTTATCATTGCCACCTTTTCAATTGTTGGAAATTCTCTAGTTTGTCACATTATCATTCGAACAAAATCCATGAAGACGGTCATGAATTACCTCTTACTCAATCTGGCTCTACTCGACGCAATCACAGGATTTCTTGCCATTGTTAATATTATTATCGATGGTCGTTCCGAGATGCTGGGAACTACGGATTTTATGGAACAAGCGTACAACAAGAGTGCAGTTGTTGGAGATGTTCTTTGCAAGATAGAGATGTCATTTTGGTTAGGAAGCGCTGTAACGCCTATGCTGCTGACAGCGATGGCCTATGAAAGATACATGGCCGTTGTGCATCCTTTAACCAGAAGAACGGGTGGATTGACAAAGGCAAGACTAAAATGGATTTTGGCCTTCTGTTGGTTATCAGGCTCAGCTTTCTTGATTTGTGATTTCCTAACAATAACTTACATACAAGGAGTTTGTGACATACCGCCTTTGCAATGGTTCGACATCAAGATATACACATTATTACTRTTTTGTATACATTTTGCAATACCTTCTATAATCATTTTTATCTTATATTTTCGAGTTATCAAAGCTTTACGAACAAGAGAAGCTCTCGGAGTCCAAGAAATAGCCCAAAGAGCTAGAAATAGAGCGAGAAGAAAGGTAGTTATCATCATAATTACTGTAACTGTCTTTTTCTACATTTGTGCGGGAATTCCCCAGGYTCTATATCTTCTTTACGAATTGTTTAATGTAAAGTTTTGGGCTTCTTCAGGAAAGCTTTCACTTCTACTTTTCACAGCCAATTCCCTTGTAAATCCGCTAATCTATTTTTCTCTCATGAAAACCTTTAGAGAAGGACTTTTCAAGCTGATTTGTAAARGTGGAAAAGGAAATCCTCATGACAGCATAATCATAATAAACACATTTTCACTTAATCGACCAAAARAAACCAGCAATTATGGAAGTAACTATCTTGACAACGTACTTGAAAAAAAATGAGCCAAAACTTCTAAGGATTTCTAGATTTGCTGGTTCGGTTTTGTAACCTTGTGCAATACTAATGTCTTCAAATTGAATAAACTGATCCACACAAAAAATATTTAGACTACAAAAATAGTTTCAAAAACAAATGTAATTTAGATTCTTTGTTGGTAAAGATGTTGAAAGCGGGTTATTTCATTTTGAGTGTCAGAGCACTTGTATATATTCATTCCACGATTGAAATGTCATTAAACTGATTGTATTCACTCATATATTTTTAACTATCCGTTGCATCGTGGAGATTAATTCCTAATGAAAATAGTTTTTTCTTAACTCGCAATGACACAGAAGGGTAGTTTAAGGAAAAACGAATACATTGTAGTGAAGATTCTTAAAAAAACATTTTTTGTCATAGGTTATAGGCGAGCATGTTTGACAAACAAAAAAACYAGAAATTAAAACTAGTTTGAAACTTTAAATTTAAATAGGCCTCTAAAGTACTTCAAGACAAAAGCATTTGATATTTAAAAAATTCTATAAAAATCACTATAAGAACATTTTTTTAGAAAGTCGTTACATAGTATTTTCCCCTTCAAAGTTAGGCTTGAATTTAGAGCCGAATTTGTCGATATTTGTATCTGAAAAGTATATATTGAAAGATATAAAATTACTAAGTAGTTCTCCATACGTAAATCCTGTATCAACTAAAGCTTTATTAATAACTGAATAAAAAAGTAAGATAAAGATTTAGCGATGATAATGATTCTATTTACATAACAATATAATAGAATTTGCGGCGACTTGGCTGCAATCTATCGCCGTAAAATGCCGCTCAAGACGCGCTACAAAACTAAACAGTTATTTAAGCTTCTTTTCTGTGTAATCTAGGTGCTTTGCTTTCTATATTCTCACTATTGATAATAAAAGTTAAACTATAAAAACAAAAAACAAAAAAACAACAACAAAAATAACAAAAACAAAAACAAACAAAAAAAAAACAAAAAACAAAACAAAAAACAAACAAAAAAACAAAAAAAAAACAAAAAAACAACAACAACAAAAAAACGTTGCTATGGCAATATACCTGGCAAGTCTACAACTGTGTAAACTTGGATACAATACAATATGATTCACCTCACGTTCATCTAAAAATTAAGTATTTATTTTACATATTATTATTTAAGTTTATACATGATACTTTAGCAGTACTGTTCAATACTTGGAGCCAAGCGAACTTTTGGGTCACTTCTAGTCAGTCTTTAGCAAAGATTTAGAAAAAACTTAATGAATAATATGCAAGAATGCTCTTTTACTAACGGAAGAGTAAATAAATGTAGTATACCCTGGGCTACAGAGGTTTATTTCTCTCCTCGCGACTTTCTTTTCAAAACAGCAAACGACAGAGCAAGAATAAACAACCTCTGGACCCCAGGGTAATCGTAGTATAACTAGACGCATATCTGCGTGAACTCGGGCTTCATAGCAGAAAATCGAAAGAATTCTTCGTGAACACTGTCATCCTTCTGACGAAACCTCGAAAAATTTCGCCACTGCTCGACCATGTGCCTATGTGGCGCATACTACGCACGCGCATAGAACTTGCGCATGCGCTTTGAACGCAACTGCGATTTGTGACAGAACGCAAATAAAACCCAATTTATATCTCCGGCATTTCTTTGAAAGCCCGAGTAAAAATGTTCCATTGATTATCGTACGAGAAGCACAGAAGGCCAACTGCGTAAGGCAATTATCACCTCTTACGGTTCCTGGTGGGGCACTATAGGTGGGTAGAAGAAGTTCGGGTTCTGTTTCTTCGACGTATGTGTTTTTCTCCAGGTTCTCCGGGTTTTCCGGTTTATATCTCCCACRCCACAAAAACCAACTATATGAGCCATTCCAAGTTGASGAAAAAACTAGGTCGAGTCASGGCATTGCAGTGCATTGTGGGGCTGATTTGAGGGACATATTTCCAAGATCCATTTCGTCCCCTCAAACAGTCCCACAATGCAATGCAATGCCAATTTGAACCAGTTTTCCCTCAACCTAGGAACGGCTTATATAAATTTCAACTACATACATGGTACAAATGGTGACGGCCTTATTTATCTATTTACACTATATTACTWCTTACCACATTGAATTGAACTATACTGGCTTAAAACTATAACTAGCTTCCGCGTCTTTGCTGCAAGTCTATGATGATTGTCTTAGGCCCCGTCCACACGTATCCGGAAATTTTTGTATCCGCAAAATTTTTTTGCGGACACGAAAATGTTTGCGTCCACACGCAGCGTAATCGAATCGTTTTCACCGTCCACACGTGTCCGTTTTCGTAGAATTTGCGGATACGGTCACAAAAATTTCCGGACACGTGTGGACGCAACCCGTATCCGTAAAAAAAAAATTGCGGATACCAAAATTTCCGGATACGTATGGACGGGGCCTTACTATTCTACTCCCAAATTTAATGTCATAAGTCTGATTTATTTGATACTATAAGCTCACAGTCACCCACGATGCTTTGCGGTCGAGAGCGCCATTTTGTCCTTGTGGAAAATTAACTTTATCAGTCCGATTCCCATGCAGAAACCTACCACTGTTCACTGCTATCATCTTTTATTCCTTTCTTTCGCAAAACTGGTTCGAGTGTCTTTTTCAAAGTCAGAGCAGCGCCAGAGAAGCACTATTCATTTGTCCGTTACATCATCGCGGCCATGTTGATGGTATTTAACGAATAAAAGATACCACCAACATGGCTGACTCATGGCTGATGTCATTTGACGTTCTTGAGAATGCTTGCACTGATCAATTTGTTTCACCGTAACTGAAGTAAAACCAAAGGCGCAAAGCTGCTATGGGTGAAAGTGGCTCTACAAGTGGGTACAAGTGGAGTATATATATATAAATGAAACTGATATTACTTTAATTTGTACATATAAAAACCGGTATTCATCAGGTTTGTCCAGTAAGATTGCAACTTCTTCTATGTCAGTTGTTCCATGCTAGTGTCTGCYGACCAGTACATATTGCAGGCTGCCATCAGCTGATCTAGTGCAGTGCTTTATGCAGTATTCTCTTTTGACAAGGCCATTGGAACGTTTACAAAGGGTACAGCTATCATGCCCTGAAAGAGGGCCAAAAATTAGTTTGAACGGTTTCGTTAAACCTGCATGTGAAAGAAATTCTATTATAWATGATCCCGCTTTCTGATTGGTCGGGGCACGTGCTTCATGAGAGCGCAGCACTCATTGGTGCTTTCTATTTTTCATTCSTTTTCCACATTTTCTTCGCTTTATGTCACAAATGTTAAACCCTGTCAAGGCTACTAATCTGCATTTAGTGCCACCCTCATTAAATAAAGTTGTTATTATTATTATTATGACTCGGATAATGAGAAAGTGTTTTTTTGAGTTCAATCCATATTTCAATCCACGTGTAATTCTCTTGAGCATTATGTTTTTTATTAACCCTTAAAAAGTTACATTAATTAAGATATAACATTGAATATTGATCCGAGGGGTCGACGCAAACGTAGTCTGTTATTGGAAATCATCCCGGCTTAACAAGCTTGGTCTTTAGGTTTAAAAATGATGGCATATTAAAACAACTTGAAAGTTTTTACTTTATTTATTTTACCTTGTTACTTCTTGTTCATGGTGKATTTRATATCCYCTCTTGTCTGGTCCCAGCCATGAGTGGTTACAGCMTTGTAGACTTCCATTACAAGAGCAGGAAAATATTCCARAAACACGAAGTCSTCAAATAGCAACTGTTCRATTGTTACTGGTGTCACAAACACAAACGTYTTCTCTYGGTAGTGTTCGTATACATTTCGTATGAAACGAACTAACTCCACAGCAGACGAGGTGTCGTAATTCTTTCTCCCTTTCCCTGTTGTCATCCCCTTGTAAATACCGGGCATGTGCAGATACCCTGAACCATTCCACCTTCCATGCCTGCCAATGGTACTGAATCTCAGATCTAGATCTGTCTCGACTGGGGTCAAAGGTAACGTCCTCTCTGAACGTGGGCACTCGAATTCTTTCTGATTACCAACAYCTTTYAGAAAATCCWYCTTCTTTKCATTTGACCAGAACAAAGGATGTTCTAGTGCTTYTTCTGCACTTGGCCGATTCYCTTYATTGCTTTCAAGCATCCTCTTTAACAGGTGAGTGGCTTCAGGAGAAATAGCGTTATCCCATCCTTCCATTYYGTYATYTMYTATGTTGRTTTCYGTTTCAGYAGYAACTTGYKSWTCACTTTTATTTGCACAATCAGTGGGATTAAATGGGTGCTTTTKYMCMGAMARRATGTAGTGAARGATCAGTCCACACGAAAACATGTCTGATGCTRGMTCAAAACRTTTCTTGTCGACTTYGTTCGTCTTGGACTTAAACACTTCGGGAGCAATCCAACATCTAGTACCAGGCTTTGTACCATATGCTGTGGTAGGCACGCTATCAATAATACGGCTTAAACCAAAGTCTGCAATTTTCAAACACRGTTTTGGATGAMSTTTATAAAGAATATTTTGAGGCTTRAGGTCGCGATGAAGRAYMTTTTTTTMRTGTAAAAACTTTAAYCCCATAACTACATCTYTACAAAGAAGAGTGGATTGGGTGGCATCAGTTGTGGGTCYACTAAGATACTCCTGCAGATTTCCCTCCATCAGTTCCAAAATTATGTACGAGAAGTGTTCATCTTCAAAGAAAGATAAATAACGAACAACTTGTTCACAGTCAGCAAGAGCGGTGAGATTTAATATTTCTCGCATGTCTTGTGGTTGCTGCATACGCGATTTTACGATGCGTTTTATAGCCACTTCTCTTCCATCCTTCTCATTGATTCCAGCAAAAATATCACCAAACGATCCMCTTCCTATGGGGTCTSTGTGGTACCAAATTTGATCCACCATTTTAMACTCTTGTCGCCTAGCAACTTTGGCCAGTATGCCGTTATATTTCTTAGAAACGGAGGTCCAAGGAATAAGAATTGGAATTTTATCGATTTCTATGGGTTTCGTCAGAAGATCTTCAAGATAGGGGCAATCTTTTGCAATGTCGTGGCAAGACTTCCCAGAAGACGAGTCATACGAAAGAAGCTGTTTCGCAATTTTACAGTGAACAGAATCATTAGTCACTTGTTCTTCCTTTGGCTCTTCTTTTTCTTCCTCTCTCTTTGATGACTTGTCTTTTCTTCTTTTCTTTGAGGGTGGTTGCCCATCACCATTGCTTGACTCGTCTTTTTGATTTTGCTGAAAAGAATCTGGCTTCTCATCAAACCTACCATTTTTAATGTTTTCACAGCAAAGACGAAGTGGTGAATCCAAAGAAAGATAACTCTTATTAGCTGATTTAAGGATGACTTCCACCAAAATGGTCTTCCAATGTGTATGCCGAGATTCATCTTTACAAATGACATTTAAAAACGAAAGCTTGACTTCATTTGTAGCGTAGTTTTCCTTGCAAGCAACTTCAACCAACGCTCTAGCAAGAATAAAAGCTTCTGATTGAATGAGAACACTCAAAACAGACTCGCCCAGCTTGTCAGCTGTCCATGGATCAAGTCCTTTTTCGAGAGCACTTCTCCAAAAGGCTTCTGGGTCTTCTGTAACATCAGGATAAAAATAATCCGGTTTTAAACGAAAGTTTTTCAGCTTAGCTGCAACAAGGAGAGGTGAACGCCCTGATGAATCCACATCATTTGGGTTTGCTCCAGCACCTAACAACAACTTCACAGCGGTCCATGTTTTGCACAAATGTAGGGAAGTTTCATCATTATCATTTCTGGCATTGACCTTTGCTCCGCATTTTAGGAGGTACTTTAGAATTTCGTCTAAGCGTTCCTTGAATGTGKGAACTTCTCTAGAGACACCTTTCATGTAATCTTGAGATGATGGTAAGGAAAGCGATGCCCAAAGGTGTAGTGGAGAGTTATTAAAGCAATCAGCTTTGWTAATGGTGTTTTCTATTGCTACTTTCCAAGGAGGAATTAACTGTAGAAGCTCGATAGCTTCTTGTAGGACGTCCTCTCTTATTGCCTCATCTTTCACGTTCAAACATCTCTCAAAAAGCATGATTTTCAAATGGAAAACAGACTCTCCACTTTTTGAAGTTTCATTCGTATTGCACCCCTGTTTCACTAGAAATATACAGACTTGTACCAGGGTCTTGACTGCTGATGAAAAAGCTTYATCTGTTAACTTATGCATGTCCGCGGACAAACAAAACAAAAGGGGTGTTTGATGTYGATGGTTTCTTTTGTTAAATTGTACTTGAAATCTTTCCAACTGGTTGAGGAAATACAACACTGTTTCCTGAGGTACACCCAACAATGGTAAACGGGTTGCATGGTGAAGAACTGTGTTCCCATCTGAGTCAGAGCTGTCTGGATCGACATCCAATTCCACGAGTAACTCGAGAGCTTCTGATATATCTAGAAGATCATACGCCAGCAACCCCGTGAAAATTCTCTTCACTTTCGCTTTCATTTCCAAACTCTTATCAGCAATATATTCACAATAAAGTTCTCCTAAACTTATAACCCGCTTTATTGAAGGAAAGATGGGCCCGAAAAAACCGCCTATAAATTTTAAAAATATAACGTTTACTATTGCCTTAGCAAAATGTTCTTGTTTAATTCCATTTTGTGCAAGAACATCCAGGATTTCATCCTTGAAATGATGCAAAGATATCCCTGTACTTGACACCCATTTTTCAATATGAAATGACACAATATCTACATTACAGTTATCCTTCAACTTCAAATATCGACTACCTTCGGCCTCAAGAAGGCATCTTAATAACGATGAATATTCCAAGTTGACGTAAAAATGTGCAGTTCTGCCATAAATATCTTTGCAACCTACACTACCAATCAGTGCACGAACAACACTCTCGTCGTTACTTTGCTGGACGGCATAACACAAAGCAGTTTTACCATATTCATCAGTGATATTGACATCAGAACCAGCATCAATCAGTGCACGAACCACACTCTCGTCGTTACTTTGCTGGATGGCATAAAACAAAGCAGTWTTACCATATTCATCAGTGATATTGAGATCAGCATCAGCATCAATCAGTGCACGAACCACACCCATGTTACTTTGCTGGACAGAATAAAACAAAGCAGTTTTACCATATTTATCAGTGATATTGACATCAGCACCAGCATCAATCAGTGCACGAACCACACTCTCGTCGTTACTTTGCTGGATGGCATAAAACAAAGCAGTTTTACCATATTTATCAATGATATTGACATCAGCATCAGCATCAATCAGTGCAAGAACCACACCCATGTTACTTTGCTGGACGGCGTAAAACAAAGCAGTTTTACCATGTTTATCAGTGTTATTGACATCAGCACCAGCCTCAATCAGTGCACAAACCACAACCTCGTTACCTTTCTGGATGGCATAAAACAAAGCAGTTTTACCACCTTCATCAGTGATATTGACATCAGCACCAGCATTGATCAGTGCACGAACCACACTCTCGTTGTTACTTTGCTGGACGGCATAAAACAAAGCAGTTTTACCATATTTATCAATGATATTGACATCAGCACCAGCATCAATCAGTGCACGAACCACACTCTCGTTCCTTTGCAGGACGGCATTAATCAAAGCAGTATTACCATATTTATCAATGATATTGACATCAGCACCAGCATCGATCAGTGCACGAACCGCACTCTCGTTGTTAGTTTGCTGGACGGCATCAAACAAAGCTGTTTTACCATATTCATCAGTGATATTGACATCAGCACCAGCATCAGTCAGTGCAAGAACCACACTCTCGCTTCTTTGTTGGACGGCATAACACAAAGGTTTACTTTCATATTTATCAGTCATATTAACTTCAGGACGACCATCAATTAGAGCACGAACTCCGTTCTCGTTGTTTTCTTGCTAGGCGGCATAAAACAAACTGTGGTTTTAATTTCTCCCGCCATATAAATGAGACAGAATTCTCCGTATAAAAGAGATGCCATTGTTATTTCCTTGAACTTGATGGCGATTTATTTTTTCTTGTAGCAGGTCGCTATTTCACGTTGGAAATATTTTCTATAATATATATGTACTCGTCAACACAGGGCGGGGGG